ATCCTTTAATTTGCCAACGTTTCGAATGGTTTTTCATTCTTTTTCATCTCAACGCCTGAAATTTGATTTTTTATAATATTTTACATATATTACATTTGTTTTTCTATCATTTTTATAGATTTTAATTTCTTAATACTAATTTTTAATACTATGTGAGCAATGTGAAATTGAATTTACAAGTTTATTAAATTTTTGAATTTTCGAGGTGATAAAGAAGGTTGAAATCGGACCAGACTGAAAGGAGTGAAAGATTTCCAAGTAAAAAGTGCATCAAATTAAAACCATTGACACGCAATTAGAGTAGTACCGGCATTTAAAAAAATTGAATATGAAACTTCAAAACAAATTACGGCTACGGTTTTAATGCTAACATCAAAAAAAGTGGACAAAAGCGGCTCTACCCTTATTTCAGTAAAGCGGCCCTTTCAGGGTCAATATTATTCACAATCTATTAGGCTTCATGTTTCTATTTACCAAATAAATTCTTTTGAATTAATTAATTGAAAATTATTGACAATATCTGTATTGTCAATACAGTCGTTTACTCCTTGAAGGTACCACCGTCAATATCGTCATACCCTACACGGTCAATATTATTGTCAATAATTGTATCAATAAATGTGCTCAGTACGTTTGTTACCACCATTCGGACAAGGGAAAGGAGTCTTTTCAAGTGAATTTTCTTGGCGTCCTGTGTTTTGAAAACATGGTCGGACGAAAAAAATGTTGTATAGCCATAGTTATGGCTATCGGAAGTATTCGCCGAGTTCAGCGAAATCGATGGATGAAAGAGTGGTTGAAGAAACATGAAGAATATTCTCATATGAGGCTGCTGAGGGAAATCAGATGCTCGAATCGCTCTTGGGTTGGCAGAACACAAACAGAGGGAATGCATCCCTGTTACTGAGAGATTAGCCTTAACCCTGAGGTACTTTGCGTAAGGCTACAGAAATTTTTTTTTAGATTTGAAGTTCTCTGTAATCATGTCGCCGGCAACTAACAGCGAAGCTATAATTGAAACGTGTGAAACTCAAAATGCTCAACATACTCCGCACAAAGATCACTTCCCTTCCTACAAAACCGCGGCAACGACTGAGTATTGACAATATTATTGAATATGCCCCTAGACGGTCAATAGTATTGACAATATCCCCTCCATTTTTGAATATTGACGCCCTGAGATCAGAAAATATGGATTTAATCAATATCGCTTCAATATCGACCGCCAATACTCTTTTTTTCATCTTACGTGATCAATATTTTCTCAATATCATACAGTATTGCCAACATTTTGATCGTTTAAGGGCCGCTTAAGAAAAATGACTTTCAGTATTAAAGAACAAAAAATATCTAGTCCATTGTTTAGTCGAAAATTCAAAAATTTAATAAACTTATAAATTCAATTTCACATTGCTCACATAGTATTAGAAATTAGTATTCAGATATTAAAATCTATAAAAATGATGTAAAAGCAAATGTAATATATGTAAAATAATTTAAAAAATCATATTCTAGGTGTTACCTTGAAAAAGAATGAAAAACCATTCGAAACGTTGGCAAATTAAAGAATTGAGTACTACGCTGTGTTTTCGGTATAAGTGCACATCCCATAACCCAACATCGTAGAATATAACAGTCATAAATAAAGAAAACAGGAATTGTGTACGAAATCAAAGACAAGAGTGGAAAAAATGCGGATTGGTAGCACTCCAATGATGCTAAAATGTCGTCAGTTTAATTAATTTAATTTTATAATTTAAATTTAATAAATTTATTTGCGAAAAGTACAGTAATACAGCAAGAAAAAACATAAATAGAGAAAAAAATTTAAGGATGAAATAATAAAACCATAATTAAAAGTAAGTCATTTAACCAATCTGCAGACTTTCGCCTGTCACCTAAAAGCAATGCTTGTAACAGGTGGCAGGAGTTATGTCAGTGAACAAAATTGCTATAAATTAAATCAAAAGACTGAGGTGTACATGACCAAATAAATGAAAGAAAAAACAAAATAATGAAGGGAAAAAACAAAAATAAAATAAAATGCAATAAATTCAAATAAAGATAAAATAGAAATTAAAGAATACCATAATTGCCATATGATGCCAAATATACCACAAAAAAATTCAAATTATAAATTTAAAATTTTTACAGTAATAAATTTTTTGAAATCATAATAAGAATTAAATTTGTAAATTATTATTTACAATATGTAATTTGCGAATACATGAACTTATGTACAACTATTTACATTGAGGGGAGAAAATAATCAATGTTATCTTCCCTCTGTGTGTGTTTTTTTTTTTTTTTTTTTTTTTTTTTTTTTTTTTTTTTTTTTACAGTTTACTCGGAAAGGAGGTCGCGGGGCCATTTCCTCTTAAGACGCCTTATGGGGTTGTAGGGATGGGTTCTATCGGACAGGGCTTGGGCAAGACTATTTGGATGGTGGGAGAGTTTTTTGTGAAACTTGGTAAATTTTTGGGGAATAAATTTTTGGATATAAGGAATTTGAAGGTCGTTGTGGAGGGTAGCATTTGAGACATAATAAGGAGCATTTACAATGGATCTGAGGACTTTAGATTGAAAGGATTGGAGACGTTGGATATTGGAAGGTTTAGCGGTTCCCCACAGTTCTATTCCGTACGTCCAAATCGGTTGTAGTAGTGTTTTGTAAATTGTAAGTTTGTTTTTTGTCGATAGTTTAGACTGTCGTCCTATAAGTCTGTGCAGTAGACCATACCGTCTGTTTAGGTTTTGTCGTGTCAGTCGTGTATGTTGATTCCACGTTAGTCGTGAGTCTAGGTGGAACCCAAGGTAGCGAACGCAGTCGGATTTGGGGATAGGAACGTTGTTGTAGTATATCGTGAGAGGAGGTTTGCTTCGGAGTGTAAATGTGACATGGACGCTCTTGCTTTCGTTTATCTTCATTTTCCATTGTCTACACCAATCTGCTATACATGAGATATGTTCCTGCAGATCTTCCGAAGCAACCGCAGGATCGGAATTGGAGGATAGTACAGCTGTATCATCGGCGAAGGATGCAAGTAGGGTGGTAGGTTTAGTGGGAATATCTGCAGTATAAAGGATGTAGAGGATTGGTCCGAGCACACTGCCCTGCGGTACTCCCGCTGCCAGAGAGCAGTATTCGGAGTAATCTGATCCTTGTCGGACCCGAAAGAACCGCTCTGTTAGATAAGAGCGGAGGATTAAGTACAGAGTATTTGGAAGGACACGCTTTAATTTGTACAGTCCACTGTGCCACACGCGGTCAAACGCTTGTGCCGTATCAAGGAAAGCTCCCATACAACATTCTTTGCGCTCGAGGGAGGAGGATGTACGGTCAACAACGCTAAACACTTGCTGGACTGTGGAATGGTGGGGGCGGAAATAATGTTATGGTTATAAAGAAACCTAAAAACAGCATTTAATGAAAAATTGAAGTAAAACGTAGTGTTTACTTTGGATACAAAAATATTAGTCGCTACTTTTTGTCTTGTTTGATACTCATTGTTTGACTCAGTAAAAAGGTTAATTAACCATGCAAGAACATTTTAAAAATAATTGTTTAAATTTTATAGTTTAATAGTTTTGTCATTATCACTTCGTAGGAGATCTCGCGAGCATAGTCTCTTCAGTTTTGTCAAATTTTCGATGACGCAAGCGGATTTAACTTCAACGAATGGAATATTTAAGATATGTGCAGTTTCGTTTGATACATAAAATGGAGCATCAAGGATTTTTCCTAAGATTAACGAATAGGCAGTTTAGTTGCGGCGGATGTTGAAACGTTTTGCCGAACCCCATACTTCCACCCCGTAAGTCCATATCATTTTAACTATGATGTAACAATTTTGAGAGGTAAGTCAGAGAATTTATGAAGAAGTCGTGCAAGAGCCCTATATCGTGTTTTTCTTCTTCTCGTCGATTAATTTGTGTGTGAGGATTCCACGTCAAGCGATTATCGATGTACACTACCGCACCTTATCGGCAGTTGGGATGGGAATATTATTTAACATACTAGAGGAGATATCTTTTTACGGAGTGTGAAAGTATTTTGGGTAGATGTCTTTTTTCATCTGAAAATGTGAATGGTGGTTTGAAAACGAGATGAGCTGTATAAAGTTGGTATAGTGTGGGGCCAAGGACGCAACCCTGAGGGACTCCAGCAAGGGCTTGGACTTTTTGAAACTTGGACAGTTTAAAACCAGGTGATAGGGTAAATCTTGAAAGATCGGCGATATATAGTGTTGAAATTGGAGGCCATATTATGTCGAGTCGTTTTATTACGATGGCAAAAATAGCCAAGTTTTTTTAAAGCCAAAATAATATCGAAATTTGATTTTATGTGAATAATAAACGCCTTCAATGGCTCGGATAAACCGGTCAATGAGATAAATGAGAAAAAAGAGATAATAGTTGTAGTGAAGATGCCCTTGAGCATGAACAGCAAGCCCGAAACTCAAAAGATTGGCTTACATCAAGAATGGCCCGAGAAATACTCCAGCTCAAGAGGAGGAAATTATGTCGTCTGTGGAAATGTTGGATAGTTGAATGGAGTTTGTGAAAACCAAATTAATGATCGGGGATTATATTTTGAAAATTGAGAATTGGAAAAATTATTTTTAATCGGAACTTTTCTAAAATTTTACCCAAAACGTGGTAGGCTTAGTGCCTTATATGAACTAGAATACTTTAATAGTTAGTACATTAGGTAATAGTTATGATGTATCTGTGAAAGAATGATGTCTCTACAGCAGATTTGTCGTATCAGAGGTTTCTTTCTTTTAATAATCTGGAATGGACTTACGGCACCGAGTGATATTTATGTCCTGGATTACGGTTTGATAGGACTGAAGGGTGGGACACGGCTTACAGAATATTTACTACAGAAGGGAGAAAAAATCTCCTGCATAATTCGCCCCGAGGAAAAGTGAATTTGTCTCCTTTTTCCCCATAACATCCGTCTAAACAAAATACTCTAACTGAAATTTTATCAACAGGGCCGATTCTGTGACATGGAATCCTCATAAATTAATGGGTACGCTATTTCAATGCTCGACGATCCATTTCAAGATAGACGTAAGTTTTGAAGGAATCTAGAAAATTATTTTTGGTATTGACGGGCAGATTTTTCTCCCAGGGGCTGCTCCTGAGCTGCAACCAGATGGCTGCGGACTACCTTTTCATGCAGGACAAGCTGTACGACGTCGGCTATGACACCGGCGACAAAGTGATACAGTGCGGACGACACAACGACATCTTTAAACTCTGGCTGCAGTTCCGCGCCAAGGTACGTAAATACAAAATAAATGCCAAATTTTTCATTATTCGTCGATCTAGAAAAAATAAAACTCAGGAAGTGCGTTGTATTCATTGATGCCTTTGTACTAATTTTATGTTACATTTTATATTTTTTCACGTTTGCATTATTTTTTCCCCTAAGAAAGATCCCTTGAAAAAATCTCGTTAAATCGTATAAAACTAATGCATTTCAGTCCCGTCGGTGTATTGTATTTTTTCAGCCATCAAGTTCGACAAAACTCTTATAATTCTTATTTTAGCACTGAAATTCCCATTAAACGTATGATTAGAGTGGTAGTGTTTTCTTACAAGGATTTTATTTGTTACACCCGATGCCACTGATTGAAGAAAAACCACTTCGCTTCAGTACAATTGCCAACAAAGCATGGAAAACGGTAACGACAACTACAATAAAAAAAATTCTTTAGAACTTGTATTTTCCTAAAGGACGATATCGGCCAAAGAATCAGAAAATGAAATCCAAGCCCCTATCGGATGGCATCTCGTGTCACAAAATGAAGAAATTCCCGTCACTTTTCAGGACTTGGTTAATTTGACGATGACGACGACTGGAATGCTTAACGACGATGAACTTTTAACTGGAACAAACGACGGAGATGCTGATGAAAACGAAGAACCAGAAGAAGTTCTGAAAATCAGTCCTAAACAGGCCTAGAAATTATCAATCGCGAACGCCAAAGTTTTTGCGGAATCGGACGTGGATAAAAACGTGTTCGGGGCAATTCACACCACAGAATTAGATTAGAACACGTTTAAATATTTTATTTAATTTCCAACAAAATTGATCAATATTTTCAAAAACATATATATCATATGTATAAAAATAACATATATACATATAAAAAATGAAAACGTTGTTAACATACATTCGTATTACAAGTACACAAACAAAATTATAATTATCATATAGCAAATTTTTCAATTTTTACCTTCGATATACTGTAATATCAATATAGTGAATATCGGACTTACACTTCGTCCCCTTGAAAGTACGACATATTTTACTGTAGCAATTAATAGTAATAATAAATTTACAATTGTCCTAATCCAACAACAAAATTGGTCATTTTAGCATAAAGCAACCTCTTCAATATGTCACTTAATGGATATGAATTACTATCCAGAATACCCTACACACATTGTAGATAAATTATATTTGGCAGATATAACTTTTAATGAAACAAACGACGGGGATGCTGAAGAAAAAGAAGAACGAGAAGAAGTTCTGAGAATCAGTCCTAAACAGGCCAAGAAATTGATCAATCGCAAACGCAATATTTTTTGCGGAATCGGACGTGGATAAAATGTGTTCGGGGCAATTCACACCACAGAATTAGATTAAACAGAACACGTTTAAATATTTTTCTTATTTCCAACAAAATAGATCAATATTTTCAAAAACTATATATCATATGTATAAAAAAAACATATATATGTCATGTTTCGATTTGAATACACCGCCATGCCCCTCCACACACATCTGACAGTGAAAGGAGTAGGGGCTAGGAAAGGGCTATTTTTTTTCAGTCAAAAAAACAATTCCCTTTCTGTCCTCCGTGGGTTAAGAGCTGTTAATTGGTAATAAAGAAAAATTTGGTGTCCACTCAATTCAAGTGAGTAAATTTTATATTTTGACGTCAAAAACTAAAAATAATAATTATATTTTAATTTAAAAAAAAGGGTGGTAACAAAAAAATATATTTTTTATAAAGAAAACTAAAAGAGATAACACTTCATTTTAAAAGTTATGTTAAAATATTAATTGTATTTTCTAATTGGTGGTCAAAAATTAATAATAATAATAGCAATAATAATTTTCTTTATTTTACTTTTCTTTATAAAACGAGAATTAAATTCGATTTTAAAATTAATGTTTGTAGATTCTGAAATAGGTTTTATTATAGAATAAAAGATTTTTTAAATTAAAAATAATAATAATAATAAAAGAAATTGTAATCTTTTTTGAAAATAAATTGTAATAATAGATAATCTCTACACATGTAATAATAGATTTAAATTTAATTAATATTTTGGTCTCGTATTTATTTTGGTTTGAATTGCATATTGGAATTTTGTATATCAAAAAAAGGTGCCTGATCATTAAATTAATGTAGTCAGGTCCGATCATAAAGAAAACCTCTGGGACCTTGTTTTCGGTTCTCCGAATTCAGGGTTGGGCCCAAAACAGAAGAGACGAGCTCACATATACATATAAAAAATAAAAACTTATTCAGAAATCGTGAAATGCGGTCTGGTGTGATGTAGGTTTCAGAAAAACATTTTCTTTATTGTGCCAACGTTTCGATCTTTATTGAGATCATCTTCAGGGCCTGGGATTTACAAACATTGTTTAAATAACCTACATCCCACCAGACCGCATCTCACGATTTTTGAATAATCATCGACTAACGGTCATCAATAATCACCACACAAATAAAAACTTTGTTTACATACATACATATTACAAGTACACAAACAAAATTATAATTATCGTATAGTAAATTTTTCATTTTTTACCTTCGATATATTATAATATCAATATATTAATACAGTGAATATCTGTACTTATACTTCGTCCCCTTGAAAGTACAACAGGGATTTTACTGTAGAAATTAATAGTAATAATAAATTTGGAGTTATACTAATCCAACAGTCAAATTTATTAGTCATTTTAGCATAAAGCAACCTCTCCAATATGTCACTTAATGGATATGAATTACTATTCAGAATACCCTACATTACCTCGATTAATTATTTTTGGCAGATATAACTTTTAATGAAACAAACGGTGGGGATGCTGAAGAAGACGAAGAACCAGAAGAAGTTCTGAGAATCAGTCTTAAACAGACCAAAAAATTGTGGTGTTACTCACGTGTTAAGTGGAACGGAGACTGTGCCTACTACGACCCAATTAAACAATACAAAAAATAATTTAATGCTACCATCATATATATCCATTTCTACTGCCGAAATGTACAAACAACTTTTATGCATGTATGCACTGCAAATGCAGTGGTTTGAGCGAATCCCGGATATCGAAGCAAAAAATAGCCTGGGCCATTAATTCAAAGAACCATGATTTTGATCCTATTTGCGGGAATGTGGATTTATATAGGGTGTCCTTATTAGAAGGCCCAGCTGAATTTATCTTGAACCAATGACGCTATCAAAAAATCAAAAATTACATGATTCACATTTTTTAATCTAGTTTCAAATTTTTACCTTTTTATCGAGAAAAATTATACAAAATACTTCAGGCCCAGATCAACGTGAAAATTTCAAACACGACCCAGTACATCCTAACACATCATTTTAAAGGGTTTTTACTCTGAAAGCAATGGTGCAAACGGATTTTAAATTGGTTAAAAAATGACAAAGTTATGGCGAAAAGAAACCAGTACCGTAATTTCGACGGGGATCTGAATATTTAACTGTATGTTCGCGAAAAGCCGAATTTCTCTCTCCGAAATGTCGGTAGGATTTTGTTTTTTTCAAAACATAAAATTAGATATGTACTCCGGATTTTCAATTATTCCAATACTGTTTTAGAATCCCATTGAAAGCCTGGGGGCTTTATTATAAACAGCTATATTGTACTTTTTTAAATTTAAATATTTTGATTTTAATACTTTTGGGCAAATTATATGGCATTTGATGGGTTTTTTAGTGCATATAATACTGAGTATTTGAGGCATATTCAAATTTGAAGGAAAACAAAGCTGCCGGAATAGACCAGATAGGCTGGGAATTTTTTAAATACGCACCTATAGAGTTCTTGAATAAGCTGTTGCGTTTAGGTTCACTTTTGAAATTCATGCCAAGAGATGTGATTGTAGAACTCCTTCAGCCTGATGATGAGCTAAAAGCTCGAAATCCGGATTGTTGCAAAACAACTTACTGTGAGTAGGAACTATTTAAAAAAAATTTAAATTTATTTATCAGATCGATACTCGTAGTTTTACTCGACGTTGTTATATTTTCAATTAGATGATGGTAAACACTATTTAAACCCATTTTTGCTCTTTTTTAATTTTGTTAAATATTGGCTGGATATGGATAACGATGTAGTTGTATGCTCACTTATTTATAATCATTGACCACTTCTTTTCTCTTTTGCCACAAGCACCATCTCTCTTTCCTAGCAATTCTGCCACCATTCTGGTGGACCATCAATTTTGATTGTTATAACAATACCTTTGATAGTGTACTTTTTCCTGTACGCCTAAGAACATTCTTAGGTGCCTCTTTGTGTAGCTTATTTGGTGTGAGAACGGCCTTACTGAAGACGCTGTGCCATAATCGGACTTATGCTTAACATTCGCAATCATATGAACAATGACCCTGGTTCCTCATGGCGAGCAAGTTTCTGTCTCTGCTTTGCCCATTTTCTTTAGATGGTCGGCAGTCTCCTGTATAGAGGCCTATAATTTTCAACAAAAATTAAATACATTCTTCGTGGCATGGCCAGCGAGGAGTCCTGATTTGACGCCATTAGGTTTTTACATATGAGGAGCTTTGGAAAGTGCAATGTAAAGCTTACCCATCGAGACGAAGGAACAGCTCATGGAAAAAATTGATATCATGTGCAATGACATAAGAGAAAAGGAAGGGAAATGGATCTGATTTTTGTTACCAAAAAGTTATTGCATGAGCCACAATTGAAATTTTAAAAAAATATGGGTTTTGACATTTGTTATTCTTTGTGCGGTTATTTTCTATTCCGAAACCCGAATTTTTCAACAGACTTTTTTTGTTAACTGGTGGAAAATTTATTTTAACTTGCGAAATAAAGGTCAAATTTGTATTTGCCGCTAAACTTTAGAATTTACGATTTTATGTGACAAAATCTGGTTTTAGACTAAAATCTTAACAATGATACTATCTCAGGAAAGAGTCAAGATAGAAACGTTCCGGTGGGCACTGAAGTACGTTTTATTTGTTGAATGAATATGCCAGCATTGACACTTAACCCTGTATCACCCTGTACAATATAATATATTATTTACTACATATATTTTATGATATATAATATATAGTATAATATAATACCTCTTACTCCAATATTTTCCTGCTCAAACCATTTTTCCAGTTCCAATACTGGAGCACATACTCCGAACCACACTTGTGCTATTCACATGATTCAACGAAGTCAAGATTTGTTGATTATTTTTATATTTGATTATTTTTACTTTTTTGGGACTCCAACATTGCTTATAACTTCTGAATAATTTGTTGAGTACGGATGGTCGAAGCTTTTCATCGAAACGTGCACTCTGCATAGCAGTGCTATCTAGGAGATGAGATGTTAACCAGAGTGAAGGGGATATCAACATAAACCAACTTAATAATAACCAAGCTAAAATTAATAACGATCAGTTACATAACTGTACATACAAATGTATTTTTTACAGTGAAAAACATGAGCTTTCTTTTAACTCATCCCTTGAAATTTGAACTTGCTTATAGTAAGCTTTTTAAGGGAATCAGCAGCCGCATTGTAAATCATTCTTTAATTGGACAAAGTATATTCATTTTATTCTAGTTAAAAATTTATATTTATAACTTTTAATTATTGACTTGAAGTTTTAGAGTGAGGGTATAACACATGTAATATTCTAAATTGGTAAAACGTATGTAGTTTGTCCCTTTACCACCGATATAGCTACAGATTTTTGCAGAAACTTTTCAATTTTATTAAATGACAATTAAAAATATTCCAATGGTACTGTAATTAAGTAGTATATAACATAATGTAGACATTTATTACAATTGAAGTACAATTGTTTTATTGGTGGTTTTGGGAGAATTGAAACGTCATAGAGCAATGCTATATCAAGTTAATACAAAGTACAACAGGATAATGTTTTCTTCATACAATGTTCATAAGAATTAAATTTTGTCTAGACTTTGATTAAATTGATCAAAGCTCACGCAAAAGGCTTAATGTTGAATTAAATGTTTCGATTCGTTTTGAACTTCGGAAAAGGCAAAATCGCAAATATCAATATATATTTTCTTGTTTGGTTGTTTAATTTTTTTAATTATGTAAAAAACTTAGTTTACAGTCAGACTTGAAAATTTGGTTTCAGGGAATGTCAGGTTTCGAGTTGCACATGGACCACTTGATGGCCATGGCTGAATACCTCGTCGAGCGGCTCGAGGCTGAAAAGGACAAATTTTACCTGATCATGAAGCCGGAGTTGGTCAACGTCAGCTTCTGGTATGTACCGAAGCGTCTCAGAGGCGTGCCGCATAACAAACAGCGGATCCATGAATTGGCGAAGGTGAGTCAAAAACCACAAAATTTCATTTGTTTAAAGCTCTAATGAAAAATAAACAATATTTTTCATTTTACACTTTGAGAAAACGCACATCAGCCACAAATTAATAAGAGGTCCGAAGTCGTCGAATTTAATGTACAATATGCTGCAAGTGCCTTTAATCACAAATTAATATATTTTACGAAATGAAGCTAGGACATTTTCTAGCATTGTATAAATTCATTCTTTTCTTTTTAATCTGAAATTTTCTAGCATTGTACACATTCATTTTTTTAATCTAAAATTTTCTAGCATTGTACAATTTCATTCTTTTTTATCAAAAATTGTCGAGCGTTGTATAAATTTATTCTTCTTTATCTAAAATTTTCTAGCATTGTATAAATTCATTCTTTTTTATCGAAAATTTTCTAGCAGTGTATAAATTCATTCCTTTTTTATCAAAATTTTTTTAGCATCGTATAATTCATAATTTTTTCCACATCCTACAGGTATTTGTAAAATTCAAACAATGTTTATAAATCCCAGGCCCTGAAGATGATCTCAATAAAGATCGAAACGTTGGCACGATAAAGAAAATGTTTTTCTAAAACCTACATCACACCAGACCGCACCTGACGATCTCCAAATAATCATTGGCTAATGGTCACTAAAAAGCACACATTTTTGAATAATAATAATTTGTTGAAGTCAAGAAAAGCGATCAGTTTCGATCATTATTCGGGTCATCTTCTAGGCCTGGTTGCATCACAAAACATATATTGATTGGAAAAAATACAATAAAGACGTAAATATAAATTTTGTACCAATATTTCATACTCACATAAAGTGTGGTGCCATTCTTGTGGTCATATTAGTATTGTGTGAACGTGAAATGTGAATTTGTATTCTGCTGTTTTTATATGATTGTGACAGGATGGGGGGCGTGGTAAGTCTGGGAAATTTTCTTTTTGTTTTTGATCGTAGGCGGTTTTATTTGACTCAAAGGAATTGGAGAATTGGGGATTTTCTGGATTAGATTTGTGATTTAGGTATGATTCAATATTGGAAGGGAAGTTCATTATTATAGACGATAAGGAAGGAAATGGAAATATGGAGATGACTGAGAGAGAGAAAGAGAGAGGGAGGGAGAGACAGAAAATTACAGAAAAAAGTAACGATAATTAAAAATAAAATAAAAATATAGATTACATACTGTACATAATAAAAAGGTTCAAGAGGGGAATTTTTGAAAAAGAGAAAAAGTTAGGGGAAAGAGTGAGTGTGAGGAGGAAACAATTCTTGAGTAAGTAAGTTATGCAATAATTAGACTTGTCCGATAAGTATTTAGTACGGAACGTATATTTCGTATGTTTCTGTTTATATTTGTACAAGAAAGTTCGTGGTTAAGGACCCAATATCGTAAATTAATTATTTAAACAAATTAATATAATTTTGAACGCACGGGGGAGACCGGAAAGACCGCGCAGTTTTACTGGTTTAGTCTATTACAAGCGCCGTACTATTTGACAGTTCAGTTGAATAATGCCTTTTCAATGGGCAAATGGATATTTAAAAGCCCAACATTTCACAATTGTGATTTTAACGTTTATTTCTGAAGTACTTGATGATGTGAAATGTAGTTTTCGCGGAAAGAAAAAAGTAGAATTATTTTAAAGTTCAAACTATTAGTATAAATTTTTGTAGTAAAGGTTCCTACCTTTACTTGTTGATTTCTTTGGCCATACTTAAAATTTGTGATAATGCACTGATTACTGATTTGCATAAGCTCAAATCTGCACATATACGTGCAAACATATGCACAATTTGATCCTGCAACTTCTCGCAGCTCAGAGGGAAGTCCAGCGTTTGTAATTTTTAACAAATATTGGCAGGCCTCAAAATCACCAACCACAGTTGTTGTTTGTCTGGAGTCAGACTTCGGTCTTATCCATCAACAGTGTTGGGCAAAAATTAGTCATGTCTAATGATTAATGATTGATCACTCAGACCGTTAGTCATGATTGGTAGTAAGTGACTAATTTAGTCATTAGTCGCCATATGTGATTGATGACTAAATTAGTCATGACTAGTAATTAAATACGAGGCATGAATAATTTAGTCACAATATAGTTAGTCATGACTAAATTTTGATAAATCATGTTCAAATGGGTGCTCAAAAAATGAAAAATACACTTCATCCCTTTTAAAAAAATTTCTATCAGAAATTATTTCATCAAAACGAAAATCCTTCAACACCTTATTTAACAAAAATCAATCTTCCAATTATAAGTAAAACCCCGTCGTTATGAAAAGCCAAAGAATAATAATAATGATAATAATAATAATAAAATAAAATAAAAAAATCCTATAACAAGTTACGCTTTGAAAAGTAAATATGTTTACATAACCGATCAATGTAAAAAATATTTCTTTGAATTAAAATTTATTCCACTTAAAAGGAGAGATTTCTACATTATTTGGAAAATACACCATCGAGAGGTCTTCATCGTAATAAAATAGACATGTAGAATAATTATGTAACTTTGGTTTTCGTTTATGATAACAGTTTTTGAAGGTTGGCCTTGAGCACGACTCTCATCCCCGAGCTGGGCAAAATCAAACTAATTCAATCATGATTAAGAATTCTGATTGAAGTTTAATCATGATTGAATTAGTCATGAGTAAATTAATCATTATATGATTTAGTCATACCTCATGATGGAATTAATTATGATTAAATCATATAATGTTTACTTTACTCATGACTAATTCAATCATGATTAAACTTCAATCAAAATTCTTAATCATGAGTGAATTAGTTAGATTTTGCCCAACTCTATCCATCAAGCCATCGAGGTTGTGGTCCTGGCGCTATCAATCACATTAACTCACTCTTAAATAGATTCTTTCTTATTTACATATTTTTAATGAGTTGGAATGGTGGTCGATATATCGCTTTTTACACCTATTATACATATAACTAACCTAATTGAGGGTCGATGGAGTAATATATAATGGAGCAATATTGCACAATACATATTTATGCCAATAAATACATTCACTCTTAACACACACTAGAAAACATAACTATCGGACTATATATCATAAACGAACCCAGTTTCTTCCAAGGACTGGAACAGGGGACCCAAATACTCTCCGCTTGATCAAGCACAGTTCTCATATCGGGTGGTACTCCTACGCGCAGTTTGTATTTGGCTCTTTTGAATAAGTGGGACACGTCGAGCGACCGTGTGTCAAATTAACATGTCCTATTGGGCGAAGTTGACCCTTATTTAACGTAAATAAATGTTCCATTGGCTCGGGCTATTAAGCCCATGGAAAAAAGTTCTGTGTTAATGGAAAATTGGTGGTTGAAGAAAGTAGTTTTTAAAAAATATAACTCATAAGTTTCTTCCAGGATTTGTGATGGTATTCTAGCGTATTTCTGTAAAACAAGCCATTCATCTCCAAAAGAATGAAAAAAAAGATGAATGAAACGATTTGCCAACATTTTTTTGAAATCGTGCAAAATTAGCAATAATTTAACAAAATTATTCATTCTAAATTTTTAATTATTTTATCAGCTTCTATTTAAATATATAAATACTTAATTAATTATACACAATTTTTTTCGAAATGAAAAATCTGTGTCACAGGCGGGATTCGAACCCACGACTTCCGGCAAGCACGAATTTCGAAAAAATTGTGTATAATTAATTGAGTATTTAAAAATTATTCATTGTTTCAAGTCTAGTTAATTATTATTTTAATTAATTATACTTTAAATCTAAGGTTTTCGTTGAGATATAAAAGTTAATATCACGAGCTGGATTCGATCCCACGACCTTCGGAATTTCAAGTTAAAATTGAATTAATCAAAAAGCGCAAAGTTGTGAATAGAAAAGAATAGTACAATGAGGTAATGTTAATTCAGGAAAATATCCCCTGAAGTTATTGTGTTATCTGCTAAGCTTTGACATCAGACTAATATTTTATTAAGATAAAAATTTTTATATATTTATGGACATAAATCTATCAAAGTTTTGTTTTAGTGGACAGTGTTGTGATGATAAGTATCCCAAAGTTTTAATATATGTACGCGCTTGATTCCACTTTGTTAAGATGTCTTAATAAGTCAGATGGTGATTTCATTGAAATAAATCTCGCCTGAAGGTTGTAATGACAAAAAAATCAATTTTTACGACTTACATACATTACCAATAATTTTATAGAATTTTACATTTTATCTATGGACTTGACTGAGATTAAAAAGCTAGTGTCACGAGAGGGATTCGAACCCACGACCTTTGGCTCAATACGCCGTGCTCTAAACCCGTGAGCTATCGTGACAAGGTCGTGGGTTCGAATCCTACTTCTGACATTAGCTTTTTCATCTCAACCAAGACTTTAGATAAAAATTATAATTAATTAAAATAATTAATACGGTCAATTATGACTACTAAATATTTATATATTGATTAATATAATAATTACAGAAGTACTTGCTTCGCTAACAGGTCCGCTGGTCATTTCATACGTCGCTAAGAATGGACTCCTCCTGATTAAACGATTTTTGAAAATGTGACGAAAAGAGAAAAAGTCGAAAGATTGTTGGTTTGGTTGAGGAATTGGTGTCCGAGTGGTTCGAATTCACCATGGATTCACGAGTGGTTAGAGCAGCCGTGTATTGAGGTCATGGGTACGAATCCCGCTGGTGACAATAGCTTTTTTTCTTTTAATCAAGACTTTAGATATGAAGTATAATTAATTAAGTGTGTGGTGATTAGTGACCGTTAATCGATGATTATTCCGAAATCGTGAGATGCGTTCTGGTGTGATGTGTCATGTTTTCTGTGTAGATGTGTCATTCTTGTCTGTCGTGTTGATTTTGGGCACTCTCAACACGACACACGAGAATGACACATCTACGCGAAAAACAAATACTTTGAGCCCTGAAGATGATCTCAGTAAAGATCGAAACGTTGGCATGACAAAGAAAATGTTTTTCTGAAACCTACATCACACCAGACCACATCTCACGATTTCTGAATTATCATAATTAATTAAAATAATATATACGAAGTAATAAATTAATATATAGTGCAACTAGTAATGCTATTCAAAGATTTTATTTAAAAAATGTTTTCTATCACTCTCTGGAATCTTTTTTCCTCCTTCGGGGCGACCAAAGTCTTCCTTTTTCCACTGCAAACTAAAAGATCTATAATTATTTGGAGAACTGATGTGCGGTCTGATGTGCCGTAGGTTTAGAAAAACATTTTCATTGTCGTGCCAACGTTTCGATCTTTATTGAGATCATCCTCAGAGCCTGGGATTTATAAACATTGTTTAAATTACACAAATACATGTTGGATGTGAAAAAAAATATCAATTTTGGAATCCTCAGAAACAATAAAAATTGTAGAGTTCGAGCTATAATTATTTTTTATAAAACTATCTGTAGTCTTAAACGTCCAACATGGACGAGGGATCAAAATGTACATTTTTGATACTATAATTAATCAAAATGCCACGAGTGCTGCCAGGACGCGAACACAAAACCGCTGGCGTGGCGAATACGGGTCGGATACCCTAACCACTCGGCCACCGCGGTCCCATCAAATGTAAACCGTCAATAAATAACGTTGATAAACAGTCATTCATTAGTTCCCATTCTCTTTTTCAGATTTGCCCGATTTTGAAGGCAAGGATGATGGAAGCTGGCACGTTAATGGTGGGATACCAGCCGGACGACAAACGGCCCAACTTCTTCAGGAGTATATTCAGCAGCGCCGCTGTCAACAAAGCTGACGTCGACTTCATGTTGAAAGAGATGGACCGGCTAGGCAAGGACCTGTAAGGGATCAACTCTCCCACCCGTAGAATTATCTTAGTCATCCCGAGTTCACATATTTAACATTAACCAAAAAAGAAATGAAAAAAAAAAAAAAGAATCTGTGGTAAAGGTAAATTTGTTGCTTTGACTGCATTAACCCTTCGCGAACGTGATGCCATAGTCTTCCAGTTGTGTCTTCCAAAAACACGTGTTATCTCACTTCAAAGCGTCCTTTTATTTGTCACTCGTTGTTGTAAACTTTCAAATTGTATTGCTGTTACATTTATCTGAAGTGTCAATTTATTTTTTAGAGATATATGGCAGGTATATTTGATGGTAAAAGGAGTAAATGTTTTCAATCCACTCTTTAGATGTAAAAAAAATGACTCGGGGATTCCTTGGACAGAGATCGAACAACCAATACATCGAAACCTCTGTCCAAAAAATACCCTAAGCTAATTAATTTTTGCCATATCGATAGTTATATATTAAAAATTATATATATTTATGACAAATGTACTGTTATAAAGAACGATATATTTATGTTGTTACGTATGTATATTTTTGGGAAAATTATAAGCGGATTATTTTTCGAATATTACCGAGTTAAAATCACCTACCTATTTTACTGTTGAGACCTGTTTAACGACCCTTTATTTTTGTAATTTAAAGGCCTTTTCGCCTTAAGTTGACCTGTTTAAAATTTATAATATAGGTTAAGCATTAATGAGTGTCCATAGAGTTTTAAATTCGCAATAATTTAATTCTAACTAGTGTTTAAAAAGAGCTTTATCGGGGAAGAAACAAAAGTGTAGCAATGCAATAATTTAAAATTTTATTGTTGAAAAACAAAAAATTGTATCTTGTACTATTAGAGAAAAATGTGTATAATGTAAAATGTACGTCTTCATATTGAATATATATATACATATAAAAAAAAAGAAAAACGAGTAAAAAATATTATTGCGGGTGCGTCAGACGTTCCCGGAGCCCTAGGCTCGAGTTATATTTTTGTCAAAATTGTTTTGTCAAAATTTGTTAATTTGGCGGAAGAGTCGCATTTCAAAATCAGACCTCCGACGGATTAGGTTAGCAAAACTATATCTGGGATAATTAATAAGGTAGTGGTCACCCCTTTTGACTCCAGAATGTTTTGTATACTTTAATAATTTATATCAAATAGCATAATAAACAGTTACTGAACTCTTAATGAAATCGTATAAAAATATACGTACAAACGGTCAAATCCCTCTTTGAACTTTTTTTTATATAGACTTAATGAAAACTTCCAAAGAAAAAGAACTATTATATTTTATCATTTTATTTCTGTTATCAGTCAGTAAAAAATTTGTTAATTATAGGGAGAAATAACTGTGACCTGACAATATTATCGGAGCCAATAGGAATGCTTTGTGACTAGAGGGAATATGCGTAAAAATTTGCAAAGAAAATAGGGTTAAGACTTTAACAAAACAAAAAAAAACTGCCTATTTGTAGTTTTGACATGGGCGTGAATACAAAACGCCCTGATATATATATATATGTGTGTATATAATATACTGTAATTGTGTAGAGACAATAAATAGTGAGATTACTGTGTATTCTGTTTTTCTCTTTGGCCACGCATGAATTTTTATACTCATATAATATTTTACGATAGGATCTGGTATTTTTACTGAGGGTTGTTAGGTGATGAATCTGTTAATGAGCATAGTTTACGTATTCTAGCACCAATAGAAAAACTGAAAGTGGTCTCAAAACTGACCACAGTAGTTTTCGTGTACACAGGAAATGGCAAATCTTGAATGTGCTTGTCATACTCCAGCTGTACTCGCAGATGATATTTTGACAAACCTTTAAAGACAAAACTTCCTAGAAGTTGTATTACACCCGACACATAGGCACAAAATTGCTATGTATAAAATCAGTTCCAATAACCGATGAATAATACAAAAACAGACTACAACTTTAGTATAAAAACGAAAAGACACACATAATCGTATAAGCTAAATAATCTATTAAAAAAATTAGACATATAAACTGCTAAAAACTACAGAGGCAAAACATCGACCCGACTAGACAAAAGCAGGTACATTCACGATGACCTAACAATTACAAAAACCGGCAAGCAAGCTGGAATATGCAACATAATCAGAATATCTCCGGCAACAGTTAGCTTATTAACGGTCACAAACAACTCACAAAGGCACAAAATGACAGTAATAAAATAAATGATGATAGATTAAACGCACGTACAATAACCTATGAAAAATACAATCTGAACATACTTCAATGAAACGTGCAAACTAACCAATGTATTTAAAATAAGACAAATTGTAAGTTATGCAATGAGGAGAAAGAGCCTGCCACACATATTATCGCGAACTGCGAAGCATCCGCTCAAAGGAGATATCATCTAGGGTATAATGAGGACCAAGGGAAAAGAAAAGCAGTCCTTCCGAAGAGAAGGGTCAAGTTGATTAAAATGAACTAAGGAGGTTGGAAAAGTAAAATACTAGAAGCTACAGTGCTTGGAGAATACAAAACCGCCATCACCATTATTTTTCTTTCCAAAAGGTCGATGTGGTACCTGTTCATATAGTATAACGATTTTTTTCGAAGTCCTGATAAAGGCGATATATTCTTCCGAAAGCTCGACAAGAAAATAAATGTTGTTTCTGTCTTCCTGGCCTCATCCCCAATCAACCTTTTGTAAAGAAAAATATATTTAAACTGAGAAGGCTGATCAACCACCAAAGAAAATATTAATCACCATTACAATTAATTAAGGTTTTTAGTCGAGATGAAAAAAAGTTAGAAGAGCGGGATTCGAACCCACGATCTTCGGCTAGATACGCTGGCGGGGGTATCGGCGAGTTGCAATTCATGTCGAGTGGCGTGGTTGTAGAAATCCTTGAACCTGATGATGAGCTAAAAGCTTGAAATCCGGATCGTTGCAAAACAACTTATTAGGAACTTTCTCTTTAAAAAGAATTGAACACCGCACTCACTCCACCATTCATAATTTCTATTCATCATTTCTAATAAATATTCACTAGTTTTCGTGGTCCGCTTGACCAATTAATATCTGTCAATTAATTAACGTTTTTAGTTGAGATAAAAAAAGTCAGTGCCACGGGCGGGATTCGAACCCACGACTTCGGCTAGATACGCCGCTACTCTACCACCTGAGCTATCGTGATTTCGATCCACTCGGACACTAACTTCCCATCTCAACCCCACCATTCGAATTGTCCCTCCTTTTTGCCATTTTTAAAATGTCGTGTAATCGGTTTGGATTCTCGACGACAATTGAAATGGCCACGGAGAGCTTTAGTGAAGTGTACTTCATATTAAATTCTTTCAATTCACTAATTTCGTGGTCCGCTTGACCAATTAAATCCTTACAATTAATTAAGGTTTTTAGTCGAGATGAAAAAAAGTTAATGGCACGAGCGGGATTCGAACCCACGATCTTCGGCTAGATACGCCGATGCTCTACCACTTGAGCTATCGTGACCTGATGGAACATGTGATGAATCTTAGTGAATGTAGAAGACAGAAATAGTGAACTAAATCTAAAATCCATTATATTTCGTAGACCAAATAACTGATTGACCAAATAACCTTTTTCAATTAATTAATCTGTTTATGAATTGTATTGGTTGAAATGAAAAAGTTAGTGCGACAAGCGGGTTTCGAACCCACAACCTTCTGCTCAATACGCCGCTGCTCTGACCCCTCACGACAGCTCAAGGGGTTAGAGCAGCGGCGTATCGAGCAGAAGGTCGTGGGTTCGAAACCCACTTGTCGCACTAACTTTTTCATTTCAACCAATACCTTACTTAACAGATTAACTCTAAAATGTTGACTGTTACGGCTAACGTCATTTTTACTACAGAGTCGCACAGAAAGTGTCTGATTGGTATGCAGGTAGTAGAAAATGCTTAAAAGCCTAACATACAAGGTGTTTCCTATCATCTGCAGTTCTCGTTATCCGCGGTAGTGCTTGGTACGTACCCCGTCCGGATAACGAGATTATACTATATACATTATATCAGAAAGTGACAAATGTCGATGCCTAAAAGTGTTTCACAATGTGTCTAATTGGCGGTAGGAAATGGCCAGAAGATCTCGGAAGAGGGATAAGCACTTGCCACCCGAGACGTGTTGATCAGAGTCGTTGCTCGTCGTCGTCACGATGCGCAATTTCCTCGCTCTTGATGTGTCGCCTCTTGGCGTCCGTGCACAAGGCCGGCTTCGTCTAATTACGTCTTTCTCATTAGCGTTTGGCTCGTTAGGACGGTTGTCGTCCGTGACAGGGCTTCGTCGTCACGAAAGGCAAATTTGGAAAACTCCGACGGTCGACCTCCTGCCCCTGCAAGCGCGCGCGCACACACACACACACAAAGACACACAAACACACGGGGCCACGATTCCCATTGTTCGCGTGGGCCAATTAAACGAAAATTAATTGGCCTCGGTTTTGCAAGCAAGTGGCAACTCGTTTCAAATCGCTCACCTAAAAATTTAACACAAAAAGAATAAACATTTATAAAATACGTGAAAATGATTTTTAAAATCTAAAACTCCAAGTTAATCCCCAAAAAATTGAAAGTTTTTATTTTTTTCTGTTATGAAATATTTACTATTATTATTTATTGTAAATTTTTGTTAAGAAAAAGACTAGTCTCTTCACCATTTTGACATGTCTGAATATTTTTTAATTATTTCTAAATAGTGCAATATTACAATGTAAAATTTTGTAAAAATGGCAAGGAGTCATTTAACAAAACGAATTTTTTTAAGCCGTTTTCAATAGTGTTTACTATTAAATTCATTAGAGTTCAAAAAAGGAGGGAAAATTCGAAAGGTGGGGTTGAGATGGGAAGTTGGTGCCCGAGTGGATCGAAATCACTATAGCTCAATTGGTAGAGCAGCGGCGTATTTAGCCGAGAGTCGTGGGTTCGAATCCCGCTCGTGACAATGAATTTTTTATCTCGACCAATACCTTAAAATAAAGATTAATTAATTGGAAAAGTGTTTACTATTTTAAGGTTTAGACAAATGTTTTAACATTTCTAATAAATTGTGAAAATTCTGTGTGCTCCGCAGGGTGCTGAACATGCAATTTGTACGTTATCAAACCTTTTGGTGTGCCTACCCTTGTGTTGTGCTGGTCTGTCGGACTTCTGAAGATGGCACACCCGCTTTATTTCAAAAAACGATTACCTTTAGCAAAAAACTATCTCATACAAACCCCAAGTTAAGTTTTTGTTAATTTTTGTTTTAACGCGTCTTCCGTCGAGCATAACTCAAAAAAGGTCGATCCTATCAAAATTTTCCTTTCAGTAAAATTGGCATAAAATAAGCTCTAGAATCGAATTGTACAATAAAAATATGGAATTCTCATCTAAAATAACAAAGTTAGTGTCATTTCCCAGCTCGATGAGAAAGTTATGTTAAATCTGTTACCACCACGCGATTTCTAGCCAAAATTAACTTGGGGTTTGTATAAGATCTTTTTTTTTTTTTGCTAAAGTTAATCGTTCATAAAACAATGAAAACTAAGATAATTTAAAAAGAAATTTTACTAGTTTAGAATTTTTTCCCCCGCAACAGCAGATGCATAAAACCCTCAGCCTGAGGACCTCAGGGTGCCGGTGTTTTAGAAAAAAAAAACATTTGTAAGTATGTCAGTTTCGAATACAGGCCGCTGGATTCGAACCCGGGACCTTTACCTTGCAGTGATGAACGCCGTGTCAACGCCTAAACCGTTGCGTCCACCGACGCCCCTTTACTATTTCTTTAAACACAAATTTTTATTTTTCGAAGAATGGCATGGAATTTATTTTAATATTTCTTCTCTTTAAGATATAATTGTATGGTTTTTGTCTCAGATATTTTGAATCATTATTCATTTTTTATCGTAATTTACAATTTTATAAAATTACATTAATTTTTTTCGTTATCATGATAAAAATAAAAGAATAAAAGCATTATTTCATCATGTTTGAATGAAGAATGTTTCATTACATAGAAGAAACCTCAAATTAAACACGTAAATCTGATACGAGAAGAATAGTAACCGCAATAATGATTTCTATCTTCTAACAACTTCCCCTGGTGTGGTTTAAATAATATTTTGAAAGACTGCGACAACCTTTTTAATAGTTGTAAAATTGTAAAACAGTAGATGTACGATGCTGGAGACAAGTTCCGTGGGTGAGGGTAACTGTACTCTTGGTCACAGATGGAGACCCAGGGACAATTAGCGTTCTGCGGTCTTGAGCGAAGGGATAATTACCAAAGGAAGTGTTCCGGACAATCCGACAAACGAGATTGCCACCCATTTCGCCAACGATCCGTTTTTGACCGAGATCTTTTTCCAGAGATGTCAACCAACGACGTGAAAAATATTTCATGAAGGCATACGGAACATATTTGAAAACAAAAAATTATAACTGTCCGCTATGCAAATCTCAACTAAAATAAAATTTAAAGATTATTTTTATCGCACTGTTATTTCCAAGTAAATAATTTCGATTTATGGTGGTTTGAGTCACGTGTAGAAGTTGCTCAGTGATTCATGAAATATTTT